GCGGGAGGGAGGAAGAGAGCGAGAGGGACAAGTTGAGGGGAGGAAAAACAACAGCTTTGTTTGTTGACAGATGCTTCTGCTCTTATGGTCTGTTAATTGGATAACAATGTAAACAATCACCCATGGCATCTGTCTCCTGCCATGGAGTGCCACCTTGTTTCTCTCCTTTTTTTCTTCTTCTCTTCTTAAAGAGAACAGTCATCAAAACACACAGCCACACCTGCTCCACCCTGCACCCTCATTTGCTTCTACCTGATGCTGGGGTGTTATAGCAGCATTTCACGTTCATTTACATAGGCAGCATTTGTGAAGCGGTGCGCAGGAGGAGGGAAGGAAAATGGAGTTTTTGTGCAGCACCGTCTTGCCACTCTCTCCATCTCTGTGTCATATTTGTTCTTTCTTCTCTCTCTCCCACTTTTTCCCTCCCCATTGCAAACCTTGTGCTGGTGTCGCCTCACCCTTCTCCTGCTGTTGAGTGCCACCTCCTCCCGGTGTCACGCTGTACCCCCAGGTCACCCTGAGGAACAAAGGGCAGCACTCACACGCTCAGATGACTTTTGGGGGCAACAGAGCAAATGTGCTGTTATTGGTGCGCCATCACTCCCGCCCTCAGAGAAGCTCGACCTGCTCTGATCTCACCGACATCCGTCAGTTCAACAGCAGTTCCACCCGAGGGCATGCACTAAACAGCCCTGTCCTAATAAGACACCCTGATGTGAATGTGAATTACGCATTTTAGTGCAATTCTGAAAACAATCAAAGGGCTAATTAAGCAACGTCTGTGGTGTTGATGTAATTTTGATGTAGAAAACACTGCCACTTAATGCAGGTTTATGTGATGAACATATGTTGGCAAGAAAATTCTGACGTACACACTTAATCTACAGCATTGCTAGTTTATTAAGTATACCTACTTTGTACCTACACTCATAGCTACCATATAGGTTCATTTTGTAGGTATAAAATTACTGACCTTGGTGAACTTGGTGAGCTTTGCTTGGGTATTTAAACACTATGCACACTAATTGGCCACTTAGACATACTTTTCATGTACAATTAGAAACAGGTGGGTATTTTTGGTTGTCAGACTATTCTTAACAAAAAGTGATATTGAACTGTGAAAAAACAGGGATGTGCAATGATATTGGCATCACATCTGAATTGGCATTTATTTGCTTTGAAAAAATATCTGTACTGGACAGATGTTTAGGATTGACTGTTATTTCAAAATGATATTTGAAGACATGTACTTTGGAATAGCAGAATGTTTAGGTGATGCAGGCTGTGTTAAATTGTCTGCATTTTATTAATTTTACTCAATTTAAAACACTACAGAAATACATAAAATTTCTCTGTAATGCTAATCCAGATAAATCTACCACCAATTTCTCAATTTTATAAATGTATTAATATCAACATTGGCATATATGTACATGAAAAATATTCTACATCGGCATCTTACTCCAAATTCCCATATTGGTGCATGCCTAAGAAAAAACACGACACAAACTAACATGCCATAACCACCAGATCCGTGCCATAGTATTGCTCTTATGGGAGTGGTCCATTATCCAGTAATTATCTAGTCAGAAATGAGCTTGTGGTGGGCCATTTTAGTTGGTGGATGGGGTAGAAGATCCCTGACAAATTATGAAGAAATATATGAGCTACCACAAACTTACAATGTGCACTTATCAAGAGTGTCCCAACCTTATCTGTGGAGGGCCACTGTAACTGCAGGTTTCTGTTCTATGTGCACTTTTGATTTCACCTGTTTAATCAGTTGGTCTCAGTCCTCAAACAGTTGATCATGTGTGCTCGTGCTTTGTTGGAATGAACCCTTTGCAGATAAGATTGGCCTATATGGCAAGTGTACCTGAAAAAATGACCAGTGAGTGTAGGTACAATGTAGGTCTAACCTCCTAAAAAATTATTTACAAAACCTGTGAACTCAGTGTATCTCAATAATACAGTAGATTAACAAGGTCAGGAGATCTCTAAATTTGCTTTCGTGTCATACGATCCTTGATGACTCTGAAGTGTGAAAATGAAAGTAGAGTCAGGCTTCATTCGCTGCTGCTCTTGCTGTGCTGCCTGGCATTGTGGAGTCTGGTGGGTTAATTGCTAGTGGAGAGTAAGAGTAGGAGGTCTGTAGAGCTTGAAATAGAGGCCTTAATCAGGCTGCTGTTAATGCCCTGTACTGAGATCACTGTGACTGCATGGCGTGGGACACACAGGTGTGAACACGGGGCCTATGTAACAGGAGAACTGCCTGCTATTAGCTCACTACAGTCAGCTCTCACTCACACTCTCATTTACTCTTTCTCTTTCTTTCTCTTTCTAAGACTACACTGAGCATTCCCAAATATTGTCTAACAGTTCATTTTTATCATGTTATGGCTAGGTTACAATCACAAAATGAATTAACCACTTTAAATCAGTTTTCTTCAGGACTCTTTTTTCCTCTGTGGCCATCAGCACCCATCTTGTTGTGTAGATTAGCAGTGGTTAATGTGTTCTAGGTCTGCCACATAGCCCCCTGTGGTGTCGCTATTGTATTTGCTTTGGATTGGTGCATGTGTAATAACAAACAGGGTCAGTCTCTGAGGGAAACGGGACACTGCGCTTACGGTGACGTGATCAGATTACTGCGCCTGTGCTTCATGATGTCAGAGACACAGACCCCACACAGCGCACACTCCAGGAGTAATAGCCAAGCCTAGCCCACACACAGCAAGCAATCAACTACACATGCATGTAACAAAGAGAATATAGCCCTTACTAATAGTATAAGAATGTGACCACAACATGATCAGTGAATACTCCCTTTATTTGTATACATTTACTTGTTTACACATGACATTTTAATGCACCTGTGTCTCTCAGCATCTATAGCAGCACTAAACTGTCTTACAAATCTCAGATTCAGAAAAGTTGGGACAGTATGTGAGAAAACAGAAAGCAGTTTTAGTACATTCTGTTTGACCTGTATTAAATTGAGAACAGTACAAAACATATTTGATGTTTTATCCTATGAACATTTTTTTATTTTTTGTTCATTTTTGGTCAGTATACACTAATTCCAAATTTGATGCAAGCAACACATTCCCAAAAAAGTTGTGAGAGGAGCACCACTGTGCTACATCATCTTTCCTTTTAACAACACACAATAATCGCTGAGTGATCCAGTTTGGAAAGCAGAATTTTTTGGTGTTCTTATGTCGTGCAAGTCATATTTTGCACTTCATATCGCGCCATATGTTTTTCATAGGACAGAGATTGCGGGAGGGCCAGTCTAGCACCCACACTGAGTACAAAGAGATGCTGTTGTGACTTGTAGAATGTGGCTTGACGTTGTCATCCCTGATGATGCTTATTTAAATCCCCGACATCCCTGAAAAAGACGTCTTCTAGAAGACAGCATATGTTCCTTCAATATGTGTATTTATACAACAGTTAGTTCCGGCCATGCAAGCTAATTGGTTGAGGTTCTAACCGCGCTGTTATTTCGCCATAACACCTTTTTTTTTCACAAACACTGTGTTTCACTTCTTACTTTGCGCACAAACAGAAAATGGATGCTAAGATTACATTTGACCTATAGCCGATTTGGTCAGACTCTGAAGATGAGACTACACTAAATTCCTAAACTGTACTATTACCACTGAGCAAGCTTTTCAGTGGGCAGCTGTGACAGAAAAACTCCTAAACAACCTGGAATTAGCCAGAAATGAACCGTATAGCATTTGCCAAACAAAAGGGGCTGTAAGATGCTTTACAGACTGCCTGGAACAAAACAACATTAATATTGATCTAGCAAAAATTGACAAAACTGAGCTAAACTTGATATTGCGACAGGTTTATGGCTCAGTCCGTACTTCAGAAGGCAAGGCTTACAGCATACTGTGCAGCGAGTAAGCGGAATTCGTTACTCTGATGTAGCAACAAGTTGCTTGTCAATAATTTTGCGGAAGGAATTGGTAACATTAAAACATATTAAAGGCCACGTTCACGGCCCAATTTATTCATTTCTTACTTTATTTACCTGTTGTATAAAAGTAATTGAACACTCAAGGTTGTGTTATCGCGAATAACATCACGGCTGTGATGATCTGCGACCAAATCACAGCCGAGGTGTTATTTCACGATAACACACTCTCTCTGCTCCTTTTCTTCTTTGGCCCAGAGAACACAACATCCATTATTTCCATAAACAATTTGAAAGATTGACTGATGATGTTTCCACTCTGCATCAGTCTATTTTTGGCTTGAGCCCAGAAAAGTTGGTAGTGTTTCTGGACGTTACTGACATATGGCTTCTGCTGTGCATAGTACAATCTTAACTTCCATTTGTGGCGGCAGTAGCGTTTATTTTTAAAGAGTTTATTGACATTAGTTTGTCAATTCCTGAGCCCATGTGGTGATGTTTTTGGTCACAGAAACATGCGGGTTATTTAACGTAGATCCATCTGAGGGATTAAAGGTCACAATCCTGTAGTTGTGGTTTTTGGCCTTGTCCTTTATGCACACATTTTTCTGGATTTCCTGACTCTATTGATGATTTTCTGCAATTTAGTTGAAATACCTAAAATTCTTGCAATCGCTAATTGAGGAACATATTTTCGGACATGTTTTCGGCAGAGTCTCAACACATACTTGTTCATAAAGGACTCAGCCGTTCCTGGATGCTTCATACCCAAGCATCATTACATCAATTGTCTCAACATTTTTCAGTAGTATTAAAATGCCCCGTCTCAACTTTTGATGTATGTTAAAGGCATCAATTTCAGAACTAGCATGTAGTTCTAAAAACTTTTAAGTTGATGAAGTAAAACATTTTAAATAGGTCAAAGTGGATTTACAAATCACTGCTTTCTGTTTTAATTAGCATTTGACACACTGTCCCACATACTTTTTTTGGAATCGAGTTTTGTACAATTTTTTTATTTTTTATTTTTTTTTATTCTAACACCTTGTGTAATCTGTCTCTCTCTTCACAGATAACACAGCTTGACCCGGCGTGGACACTGTTGGAAGCCAAGCTCTTCCCTCAGGAGACTCTGTTCCTGGAGGCCAAAGAGTAGAACTGACTCTGCACTTGGACAAATCACATAAACAGTGACGATCTTTAGCATGGTGTCCACAGAGAACAGACACACACACACACACACACACACACACACACACACACACGGAGTACATGATTACTGAGTGTACGTTATATGCACACTGAAGCTTTCACAAGCACAGAGATACAGAAACACACACACACAACTGCAGTGTCATGTTTTTTCTCCACCCACTGGTAAGATAACGGAAAATAGAAAAAAGAAAAAAAACAGCAGTGAGGAGACCTATAGCGACATCACAGATGAGATGTTCCACTTCGGCTGCTTTTTAGACCTGATTTTGTGTTGACATGAAACAAAAAAGCATAAAAATGACCAAAAAAAGAACAAAAAGATGAAAAATGAAAAGCAAAGAGACATTTCCTGGAGAACGCTGGACTATCTCCTCTCTCTCGCTCCATTGGATCCCTTGCTCTTTGGCCACGTCCCTATGGAGTGCCAGCTGCCCTCTTATTCCATCCCCTCTCCTCCATACAGATGATCAGACCTGGTTTTAATCTCAACTGCTCGATAAACAACAGGTCCCTTCTGGTCAGGTTTTTCTCTTTTTTTGCCCCTTTGTCCCTTTTTAAGTTTGATGCTGTATTAGTTTTAGTTTGATACATTATATAAAATATATATGAACCTGTGTCTGTTTCATGATGCTTTTTTAATGGCATTGTGGGATTTGGTAACAGCAGCACACAGCAGCAAAAAACAGTCACTATTAAGTTTGAATTTGGAAATATCCACTGCCCTCAAACCCCTGTAAAGGTGGGGAGGTGACTTTCCTCACAACATATATATATTTCAAAATCTTCATGATGTACTCTAGTGCCAGCTGCAGCTGAACTTGTGCAAAGTTTTTGTGATTCCTGCGTTATTGTGCCTTAACGTACACTCACTCCTGCAACCTGATTACAGTTGCACAATAATGCTCCTTTGTTTATAAAGTGTATTTTGAAAAGATATATGATATGCTAGAAGGAAATAATTCAGTTTGCAGTGTCCTCTTTCAGATGCTAGCTCACTTGTTCAAGTGATCTGAAAAATGAGCCTGTTTATAAATTATAGATGGCTCACAGTGCTGCAATGTCAAGCAGATGAAGGGTTCTCATATAAAGCAGAACCAAAATTGAGGCTTTTTATTTATTCCACATAATTGCAGTGAATGCATTATTTGATCTTTTCTTTGGAATAACTAACATTGACTTGTGTATACACACCAACTGGCCATTGTCCTTTTCATTAACTCCACTTACCATATAGGTACGCTTTGTAGTTCTACAGTTACAGACTGTGATCCATCTGTGTCTCTGTGCACTTTTTAGCCCTGTTCCTCAGTGGTCAGGATCCCAGAAGGACCATCACAGAGCAGATATTATTTGGGTGGGGGGGTCATTCTCAGCACTGCAGTGACTCTAATGTGGTGGTGGCGTGTTAATGTGTGTTGCACTGATACGAGTGGGTCAGACAAAGCAGTGCTGCTGGAGTTTTTAAACACTCACTGTCCACTCCATTAGACACACCTACCTTGTTGGTCCACCTTGTAGATGTAAAGTCAGAGACAGTAGCTCATCTGTTGCAGCACAGTTTGTGTTGGTCATCCTCTAGTCCTTCATCAGTGGTCCCAGGACGCTGCCCGAAGGATGCTGCCCATGCAGAGACGCTGTTGGCTGGATATTTTTGGTTGGTCTCGGTCCAGCAGTGACACTGTGTTTAAAAACTCTGATTGAGCCGCACACGCTACCACACCACCACCACGTCAGTGTCACTGCAGTGTGTAATTGTAGAAGTACAAAGTGCATCTGTATGGTAGAGAGTGTAGAAATAAGGAGGTGGAGATATACATCATACGAATTTTTTTTGCAATAATACTGGAGGGATTGCACATATATGCGCATATAAAAGTCACACAAATGGTTGGAGGAAATTGATTCATTGTCTTGTTTTTCAGCTGTGTTTTCCATTCATCATCTCAATATTATCTGCCACAAAGGCTAATTTTTTCTGTTCAGCTCTGAGATTAAAAGATTACTGCACCATCTGCAGCACCGTTGATCACACCACAAAATGGGAAAACTTTGAGAGAGAAAAGAAGTGGGTCCTCAGCCTGTCTCACTGACCTTTTTTGGAGCTTAGAGAGGTTGTGGGGTGGGGGATGTGTTTGAGCACTCTGTTCTAAAATAGGATGAACTCATATCTTTCATTCTTTAACTATTACCATCTCCTAAAGAGTAAATTATCTGCAAAGATAATAGTAAGTCCTTCATTCAGTGAGGTCCATAAAGAAAGTACACTTGACAAAGATTAACAAAAAAAGCTGTTTATCACCATAAGTGGACAAATGCTTTTATTGCGATATGTTCATTGTGAATCAAGCATTTTAAAAAGGATTTTCCCATCTTTTTTCTTGAAATTAAACTCCCAGTGCCTTTAGGAAAATTTAAAGAACTTCAGTTTATCTCTTACTTTCAGTAAAGATTTTTTGTCAGTCAGCTCTTCCAAATAGCCTGTTGTGGTTTTGTGGCTGTACTTGTGTAGACCTATGGAAACCAGTATGCAACCAAGCAAGATTTTCCTAAATGTGACCAGTCTGGCTTTTGACTGTGTGGGAAGAGATTCTCTAGAGTCATAATCTTGATTATTTAATGCATTTATAATGAAAAAAAAATGTCTTGCCATAATAGTGGGAAAATAATAGTCATCTAATTTATGACCATCGTCATTTCATTCTTCCATGTGGTGATGGATGTCAGAATTGCTTCCTGTGAATTTAACCAGAATGTGCAATGGCAAATGTAATGCACTGAGTAATATGTGTACATCAACACACAGTGGTCAAAAGTAAGTAAAATTAAAGGTAGAATTATTGTTGAATTAAAAATTGATTTGATTGAACTCGTAACATCACTTTTTTTTCGGTGTACCTGCAGATAATTTTTTATTTCCCTTTAAAAATATATAGTCATCAGTCTTTGTTTAAAAATTATAGTGTTGTTTTTTCTTCTGTTAGCATTTGTCCTAAATGGTTGAAATATAACATAATGGCTTATGCATGGTGTTTAAACAGCTTTTTTTGTTGCTCTTCATCAAGGGTGCCAATAATTCTGCACGTGACTCAACTTCCAGTATTTTTTTTTCACATTTACCATTTTCAGATGAACTTCAGGATTTGAATTCAAAGATATGCAAAGCTTTACTGAGAATGGCAGATGGTTGTGGAGTGGTAGGATGGAGCAGCTCACCAACTTCAAATAATTTGCCTGTAGCACAGTAAAGAGTTTCAAAAGCCTCTTGCAATATCTTTGCACTTGAACTTCTTCGTCCTGGGGGCTGTTTCATTCCTGCACTGCCTTGCGTGTTGCTCTACTGGTTCTCACGCAAGGAGTTTCAACATTTAATGGGCTCACTGAATCGAACTTCCACAGAAGACATTATGCCTTAAGAAAACATCTCTTCATTTGTCCCTCCCTGCTACTCTCCCCTGAAAATACCTAGCCTCACCTCATTCACAGCACTGTTAAAAACCAATATTACTGTTCTCGTTCTTTCTCTTCACAGGTGAGTGAACCAAACTCACAGATTCAACTGTAGTTGTTTTTAATATTGAAAATAATCTCTGAATGCAAGGAGTAGGTCAGGGTTTGAGAAGAGATCACAATGTACCTTAGGATGTTCTGAAAAATAAAAGTTCTTAAGTGGTTCTTGGCTTGGAGGTATGGTTTTAGGGAATACATTAATTGGTTTAGAACATTTACATTATGTTGGTTCCCATTCATTGGTTTAGAACCTTTACATTATGTGAACATTCTTCAGGCCTTAAAAAGGTTCTTCACACTTATATATGTTTACCAAAATCCATTCACAGGTTCTTTATGGTTCTTCTATGGCATCACTCCCCAAAAAATATTTTTTATCATTGACAACACTTCCATTTTTTTAAAATAAATGAGTCTGATGTGTTTGTACCATTCACTCCCAAATCCAAACAGTCCATATTCAGACATGCATCAGCAAAAAGAGCCCCTTCAGAATTCATTGTTTTTGTGATGTCACAAAAACTGGTGCATTTACATATTCAGCCTATAACATTTATGTTGAAGTTATAAGGAGTGTGAAGCCTGAACTACTTTTTGACTGAGGCACAATACACATCAGCCAATCAGATCACAGATCATTTACATATATCTGTCTTTAATTCTAAGAGAAAAAGAGAGGTTGTAAAATGGTCATGTAAAAATGAGTTAAGACAAAAACACAAGTGAAAAGTCCTAATGGAAAATAATAACTGACGGAAATGTTGTGTAATTTTATTCAGTTTTTTCCAGAGTTTTCCAGAAAGCACCATGTGCTTCTTGTGTTTACTTCCCATGGTGTAATAGCGGAAAGTAAGCTGTGCAACACCTCTTCCATGCTTTAGCTTGGTTAGGCCTGCTGCTGCTTCTCAGAGTGGAAGAAAGGCCATCAGCAGGTAAGCTGCTCTGCTTCTAATGCCAAACTTGCACTGATGCAGAAAGGACAGGTTCCTCCTCCAGCCTGGAGCTATAATGCTGATTGTACAGCTCCTATGATGTGTGATATTACTGTTTCAATCACTGGGTGTTTGGCTAATGTGCACAGACATGGGCTTTGTACAGACACAACTGGCACTGATGGGCTGGTCGGAAGTGCTGATAATTAGAGTGACGATGTTTCTTTCAGCTTGATCCAACTTGTCCTTTCTGTTGAGGTGGAGGAGTGAAGGCAGTTGAGTATTGAGCAAAGAGAAAACAGGCCAGAGATTAATCATTCACCTTGGTGTTAAGTCTCATCTGAGTATTTTTCTTGATAAGTGTTAACTGTAAAATCCCATAACATAAATGCATAGCCATTTAAATATGACCACCAAGTTCTTTACCTAGGAAAACTACACTCTGCCTGTTCTCAGCTATGTTCAAATCCAGAAGTGGAATTTACTCTACACTTTTAAAGGGGTGGGGTGTCTCCAATGATTGTTCAGTAAATTAGTGATTATATTTAGAACCATAACAAATAACTTTCAATACTAAAAGGAGAATTCTGCTGAGAATGTCTGCATAATTAAATGTTTAACATTCAAACATATAAAGTCATTTAGAGCAGTTTGGGAACAAGTAGTCCTGATGTCTACAACATAAATATAGCTATTTCACTTCTTAGGTAAAATAAACTGAATTTACATGTCTTCTGAGTTTTATGTGAGGTTGATGGTGGGAAATCTGAAGAAAAAAAAATCATTCAGTACTATTTTGCCATGAAACATCCTTTATGGCTCCCACCAAAACAAATAGATTTACATTTAAATCATTACATTTTACAATAAAAATGTATTTATGAAAATACAAAGCTTTTTATAAAACTATTACAGAACTGTCTCAGACATCAGGCAGTGTCTTCGTAACCATTTCATGTAATAACTTTCTGTAATGTAGCATAAGTTGTCTGGTTTGTACCACCACTATGAACAATTTTGACTCTAAGTTTATATAGAATTGAGCTTTTCACATCAAACCATTCTGAATGTCTACTTTTTAATTTTTAACTATTTAATTATGCAGACATGTTGAAAAGTTGGTGGAGTTTCCATTTAAATGTTTTAAAGCCTGGTTCTATATAACACCAAAAGGA